GAAGAAAGACGGAGAATTGTAAGCATATCTTCGATTGCAAAACCATGTTGCCTGTCGTGGGGTTTACAGATGAGCTCCCTGTTGTAAGCTTGTAAGGCCAGGATGGATGACACGAGACATGCCACTACCAGCTTCCCAGCATCAGGAGCCACCTCTTGACGTCTAATATTGCCTAATCGAAGCAAACCCAACCTATTTTAAAATAAGTAAAACGCCTTTGGTTTCTAGAGACCAGCGTTGAACACTCTGCGAAGCAAGATGTATAGGCAAGTCTAACAACAGTAGTAAATAAATACCTAGGAGTTAGTTGACTACATTGTTCGCATCCTAGAAGACCTTAAAAAGGCGACACCAATGACAATGAGCCATTGGTGCCATTGGCTTGACTGGTCTTGGGTAATAATGTTACAGTACTTCTCAGGGAATCACCAACCAACTCCTGGCTGTCTTCAAGAGGGAACTCGGTAAGTTCCTTAAGTCAGTTCCTTATCCACCGAACTGTGGTTCATGCACTGAACTGCATGCATCTGGCACCAGCAGCCTAGTCGGTCAGGTCAGCAACTTGGAGGCCCGGTCTGGGACCAAGTTCAGAGGACGGTGACCTCGGAAATCGATTCCAGATAGGTAAAAAACCAGTTTCAAAAGCTTGGAGTCAGTTTAACGAAGGCCTTCTTAAGTTATCACACAGAAACCAATATCCCAATATGCTCAATTAATGTTAAATTAGACACATGTGCAACTCTTGGGTATCTTTATTGAGGAAACGTTTCGCCACACAGTGGCTTCATCAGTCCATACAAAGGATAAACTTGAAGAACAGGAGGAGAATGAGGTAATCAGTCCCTCAACCTTGAGTCGATGAGGTCAGTCCATCAATCTTGAATAGAATACGGCATATGAGAGGAGAAGCAGCTTATAAAGATACCCAAGAGTTGCACATGTGTCTAATTTAACAACATGTCGGTTCTTTGAACCATTCATCTACAATCCTGTCAGACACTGCAACTTCTTGGGATCTTAATACTTAGGAATTCTTCGCTTGCCTAACCCTTGGGCACGACCTACTTCCACATTGGACAAATGTGACACCACCTACGACTGCTGCACCTCTCCTGCCATACGGTTTATAAGCTGCTTCTCCGCTCATATGCCGTATTCTATTCAAGATTGATGGACTGACCTCATCGACTCAAGGTTGAGGGACTGATTACCTCATTCTCCTCCTGTTCTTCAAGTTTATCCTTTGTATGGACTGATGAAGCCACTGTGTGGCGAAACGTTTCCTCAATAAAGATACCCAAGAGTTGCATATGTGTCTAATTTATCAACATGTCGGTTCTTTGAACCATTCATCTACAATGCTCAATTAAATAAGCATAGTCCATAACAAATCTGAATCTTCCTCTTATACAGTATAATATTTAAATAAGGTTTAAAGCATATTAGATGAAGCATTAACAAGCTTTCGTACTGAAATAATTTAGCCAATCAATGCAATACAGTCAATAAATGATGGAAAACGTGAAAGAGATAATTTGAGGTGATCAGTCCCTCAGACTTGACTGGAGGTGTTTAGTCTCTCAATCTTGAGAGGAGATGTTCAGTCCCTCAGTCTCGATGAATCTGAAGCAGATACACAACGACAGAGACTTATAAATTGAAGGCAGGTGAGGTGAAGCAGTTGGAGAGAACATCACAGGTGGGCTGAATCCACTAGTGGAAGTGCATCATAAGATTAGGTTAGACGAGCATTTGAAAAGTAGAAGGAACATCTGTACCATGACTCCAGGAAGTTGCTATGTAAAACCATTATTATTAAACTAATGAAATACGGAATTAACAAGTAAGTGAATTAGACTCCTGGGTCTTTTCAGTGACGACAGTTTTCAGTATCCGGTGACTTCATCAACCTATTACAACAAATAAACATTGGCTGACATGAAGATGTCACTGCAAGTCTTGAGAAGAGGTGTTCAGCCCCTCAACCTATGTAATCCAATAGCTATAATCATTACCATAATTTTTAAAGGAGATAGACAGGTAAGCCAGTGGAAGGCCTCGGTCAGATGACCAAAAGCTTCAGCTGCGGGTCACTATCTAAGAACCGCGTCAGGAAACATTTGTCCTGTTTCCAGACACACTGTAATTAGCCAGACAAATTGTACCTATCGTAACCCACAACCTTCCTCAAGGCTGAGTGTGTTGACTCGAGGTCATCAAATACAGTTATAAAATATTCATCATTTTTATAATGACTTCGATCTTAATATTACATACTGATTACTACAGGGAAATGTTCTAAATTACCGTATAATTACCAGGCGAGTATTAAAGCAGAGATGAAAAAATTAATGAGTTTTCAACGAAAGTTTTAATTGAATTTTGTGTATAAATATATATAATATATATATATATATATATAATATATATATATATATATAATATATATATATATATATATATATAATATTATATATATATATATATATATATATAGTTCCTTGATAATGTGAGTAGTCACGAAAGCGCTTGGAATTTTTCTATTCTTTCAGAGTGGTTGTTTTGCATATTTTGAAATCACCTGTTTACTGTGATCTTATTGCAATATATATGTGTGTATGTGTGTGTATGTGTGTGTGTGTGTGTGTGTGTGTGTGTGTGTGTGTGTGTGTGTGTGTGTGTGTGTGTGTGTGTGTGTGTGTGTGTGTGTGTGTGTGTGTGTGTGTGTATTGTGTGTGTGTGTGTGTGTGTGTGTGTGTGTGTGTGTGTGTGTGTGTGTGTGTGTGTGTGTGTGTATATGTGTGTGTGTAGGGGGGCGGTTGTAATTTAATATACAGAAAAATCTTTAATGAAAACATATAACTCACTCATGCATAAAGCTTAAAGTTTTTTCGAGACAAATCTTAGAAAAAGTGAAGAGCCAGACGAAGTATTTATAGCCAGGAGTCGTCGACACCCGAGCTGGTCTGAAGGAGACTTAGTTCTCACTCTGTCATCACCAGCGGCGCTGTCAGCGATCTGGATAATTAGTCTGTCAGTCTATTAAGGACTGAGGTCTGTCAACTGTAGTAGGGTCGTATCAGCGGCAAATCCACTTACACTAATACAAAGATACTTAACCGTGAAACAGGGACTAAGCTCCAGGAGTGTATACACTGAGATATATATACCTTTTGATGCATGTATACCAAGACAGACAGACAGACACACACACACACACAGGCACACGCACACGGAGAGGGTAGAGTGACTGAGTAGCGGCCAGTGAAGAGACGGGGCCAGGAGCTGAGACTCGACCCCTGCAACCACAACTAGGTAAGTACAACTAGGTGAGTATACACACACACACACACACACACATACAGACACCTGGTGTACATAGTAATAACAATAACAATCTTTATTTCTACAAGTACATGTACAAGGTACACAGTCCTAGTTGACATCAATAACATACTACTACATAGAAAGCCGCTTGTTATGCTAAGCATTTCGGGCAAATTAGGTAAAGTTTATCCCAGGATGCGACCCACACCAGTCGACTAACACCCAGGTACCTATTTTACTGCTAAGCGAACAGGGATAGCAGGTGTCTTAAGGAAACACGTCCTAATGTTTCCACCCTTACCGGGGATCCAACCAAGGACTTCAGTGTGCGAGATGAGCGCGCTACCAATCGAGCTACGGGATCCAATCGAGCTACGGGATACCTTATATTACTCTGAGCGTCACACCTGTCATGGTGTCAGTACTGAAATATATATACTTCTCCGTGAATTTTCTTTGATATACAGTTATCGTATATATTCAGATATGCACCTCTTAGTGTACATATATTGAGATATACAACTGTTGCTCTGCATACACTGCATATATACACTGTGTATACTGTATATACATTGATAGACGATACTGTTACGGGAGCTGACGCTGTTTTTGTTGTTGCTGTTGATGCTGCTGTTGTTGATACTGCTGTTGTTGATGCTGTTCTGCTGCTGCTGCTACTACCTCTGTTGCTGCTGCTGCTTATGTTACTGCTGCTACATCTGTTGCTGCTGCTGCTTTTGTTGCTGCTTCTGTTACTGTTGCTGCTGTTGTTGTTGCTGTTGATGCTGCTGTTGTTGATACTGCTGTTGTTGATGCTGTTCTGCTGCTGCTGCTACTACCTCTGTTGCTGCTGCTGCTTATGTTACTGCTGCTACATCTGTTGCTGCTGCTGCTTCTGTTGCTGCTTCTGTTACTGTTGCTGCTGTTGTTGTTGTTGCTGCTGCTGCTGCTGCTGCTGCTGTTGCTGCTGGCTGCTGCTGCTGCTGCTGCTGTTGATGCTGCTGGTGACTTCGCTGGCCCGACACGCATTACACGCCTTGCTGGAAGCACAAAATATTTTCCTGACTATAATCGGATTCTGGAAATTATTCAACCCGAGGAGGAGAACTTTCACTGTTCGTATAAGTTCAGCCAAGCATCTTAATTATTGAGAATGTTTGCAGTCCCCTGATCTGTACTCCCTGGAACGCAGGCGAGAAAGATACATCATAGTGTACACCTGGAAAATCCTAAAGGGACTGGTCACAAATCTGTACACAGAAATCACTCCCTACAAAAGCCAAAGACCAGGAAGGCGGTGCAAAATACCCCCAATGAAAAGCAGGGGCACTAAGAGAAAATACAGTAAGTGTTAGGAGCCCAAGACTGTTCAACAGCCTCCTAGAAGGCATAAGAGGAATTACTAATAGACCCCTAGTTGTTGCCTTCAACAGGGAACTGGACAGATACCTAAAGTCAGTACCCGATCAACCGGGCTGTGATTCGTATGTTGGATTGCATGTGGCCAGCAGTAACAGCTTGGTTGATCAGGCCCTGATGCCCGCGTGTGTGTGTAAAGGGACATTCATTCGCCTCCACACCATTACGTAGTGTCGGATTGCCATGATGCGCTAATACACAGGGGAAAATACAATGAGATACTGTATTAAGATTGGTGTATAATTTATTATTGACTGATACAAAAACTGCAGTCCACGATATTTTGTGTTTCACATGAATGACAGCCGATTATTGTGTTAGAGGACGAAGTAGCGAGCCTCCACAAATCATTGTGCCCAACCAATCACACATTTTAGAGCTTCAAATAAATATAATAATCCTTTAAAGAGGCAATTGAAGCTTATTACTCGCCTCGTAGAACCTCCCGCTCCTCTCAAGAAGTAAATGAAGCCTCTTACTCGTCTCGTACTCCATCTCGCTCCTGACGCTTCCTCTCCTCTTCAGCGAAGGCGATCTGTTTGAGTACGAATTCCGGGATGGGATGGGGAAAGGCTGGGGCCACTGGCAGAAGATCCGACTGCGGCTGATAGCCATTCTCGTCTGCCACGAACGTAACCTCAGCAATGGATCCGTCTTGGAGTGGATAGCTGGAGGGTAAATGTAAACAGAACAATGCGTCAAGAAGAAATGGAAGCCGGTCGTGGCCCTTAAACTCCACAACAACAAAGAAAATTGCGGATTGTTTAACAAGACCGGAAAGGAAAAAAAATGTACCTCCAACAACAATTGTCAAAACAAGTTAAAAAAAAAAGAATATTTTTAAAAGTCAAGTCTGATTAAAAACTGAATAATTCCAACGTCAAGAGCTGAAAAAAAGATAGTAATAAATATTGAAGATGGAAGATGTTTTTTAATTAATTACAAGAATGATATAATGCCAACCAGTGTCTTTTTTCCCCAAGTCAATTAAGAGATGTGTGTTTCATCCAAGTCAATAAAGAGATAATACATGGAGGCTTCGTATACCATCTCTTTATTGAAGTGAAAAAGCCACTGGAGGGCGAAACATCTACAAATAAGATACCCAGGTGTTGCTCGTGTGTCTGACTCTCCTGATGTTTGGTAACCTGCTGGGCCCTTGAAGGAGGTTATCCAGTTGCTTGTGTAGATCTCTAGAGTCAAAAAATTGGAGTTATTCTTCCCATTTCTTGGATCAAACTTCATTATTTCTCATTTCCCAGGCACTGCATGACCCTTGCAGGTTTAACGCTTCCCCCTGGATGATACTAGTCGAGAAAGGCACAATACCATGACTGGACCAATGCATAAATAATCTCCACAAAGGAGAGAGGAGCTTAGGACGACGTTTCGGTCCGACTTGGAGCATTTACAAAGCCACACAGTGTGACTTTCTAAGCGGTCCAAGTCAGACCGAAACATAGTCGTGAGCTCCTCTCTCCTAAGTGCGGGTTATTTGTGAATTTGTAGTAATAAGGCAGTAAGTGGTGTCGACAACTTGATGAGAAATAGACACGAAAATATTCACTGAGACGTTTTGATCCTTACGCCTTGCTCACTTCAGATAGAGTTGCATTTTAAGGGACACTATCTCAGGACCAAAACGTCTGCCTTAAAGGTGTCAGTTTCCGGGGTTACAAATGGTAAATAACGTTGACAAACATTCAAGAAAGACACAGACGATAAATAGACACTCTTTTTATGCAATATTTAAACTTGATTTCGCTTCAACTAACTTACCTTTTCTGCCATATTAAGGATTTCCATTCTTTTTTTAAAAAAGGCACTTATGTACAGTTCAGGACATTTATTACAGGAAACTTTTCGCCAAGAGTGGCTTCTTAAGTACTGATTTAGGACTGATGAAGCCACTCGTGGCGAAACGTCATGAAGAACAAGACTAATCAACATCACATTGTACAGAGCCAATAGGGAAATATTCCGGCAAACCATCGGCTTTTTGGGTTCAATCCAGTGAATCTATCCGTTCATCTCCCTGTAATAATACTGACCTGTAGACTCCCACCATGGTCGCTCCTCCTGAGGTTCCCTGAGAGCCTGAGAACTGGAACTTGATGCCGTTCTCCGCTTCGAAGTCAGAGCTGTGACTGCCATCGTTGTCTGGATTGTGTTGAAGGTTACGCAAGATCCCCACAACCGGTTTGATCCCCACAGCTGGTTTCTCCTGCTTGGAGAGCCTCGGCTGAGGTTCAGCTGTGTCCTCAGCCAACACCACGCAAACCATCGCTAGCAACACCGTCTGTAACAAGTAGGAAAGAAAATAGTAGACGGTTAGTCGGCTGCAGCCTGACAGATCGGAGACTGGGACGCGAATACCTGGAGTCTCTACTGCTCCTTTCTCTGTATGACCCAAACTGGTGTAGCGCTTCATGAAATCCTGAGTAACACAAGAAAATGGACATGAAGCACTAAATCCACATGGGTCATTCAGAGGGAAAACCTGTTGGAAGGTCGATCCTCTTTCCAGTAATCATGCGATACAAAAGAACTGAGGCTACCTAGCCAGGTACGTACTGTCGTCTCTGGGTTTTTCCTTAAGATTTAATTTTCCTAGAGATGAAATGCTAAGGGGACGTAGAAATAAATTAAGTGAGGATTAGAGGCTCGATCCTCCTTCAGCAAATCGTGAAAGTTACTGCATTACGTTTCTCGCAGTGGTGAACCCATGAAGGTTATTGAGGAGTGTTGGAGATTCAATCCTCCGTCTGGTCTTTAAGCATGTCTCTGCTACTCGATGTAGTTGTCTGGATAACTGGCGGATCTCGTTGGTGTGAAGAGATGAGTCAAGCCTCCAGCTTTTGGAAATTCGTGTACTCACCACCTTCATGTTGTTCAGGTTCGATCGTTCCAGCGTAACTGTCTTACTCTCCTTTCCTCAATGTCTCTTATATATATATATATCCCCGCTCTTTGGGGGACCTTTCTAAGACATTGTACCCCAGGCTCCCCCTATGGCATATACCCTCACATACCGTTGTATTAAGTCTACCTCCCTCCCTCTTACCTGATATGGTACATACCAGACAATGCCATTATGTGATCCTTGGCACTCCCTGTTTAACCTGAAGTAATCATCATGTTTGTGGGGAAAGTGGCGAGAAGGTACGCTAAAACAGGGAAGTGATAGGTTCCAGCCAGAATTGTCTAACCTGTCACACCTAGTCTGTCCTCACTGGTCTGTCTGTCAATAAACTCTCCTCCAACCCGTCATCCAGCCTGTCATCCACCTTGTCATCCAGTCTGTCATCTAGCCTGTCCTCCAGCCTGTCCTCCAGCCTGTCATCCAGCCTATCATAGAGCCTGTCATCTAGCCTGTCCTCCAGCTTGTCCTTCAGTTAGAACACCCGTTTCCGCATGCAATGCAATTCAGTGATTTTGCCCTATTTAAGCTATAAAAGTTGAATATTGGTTACTCAAGGTCAGTTTAGATTTAGTTAGTTTATGCTAGGTTAGGTTAGGTTAGGTTAGGTTAGGTTAGGTTAGGTTAGGTTTGGTTATGTTAGGTTAGGTTAAGTTATGTCAGGTTAGGTTAGGTTAGGCCATGTTAGGTCAGGTTAGATTAGGTTAGGTTAGGTCAGGTTAGGTTAGGTCAGGTTAGGTTAGGTTAGGTTAGCTTAGGTTAGGTTAGGTTAGGTTAGGCCAGGTTAGGTTAGGTTAGGTTAGGTTAGGTTAGGCCAGGTTAGCTTAGGTTAGGTTAGGTTAGGTTAGGCCAGGTTAGCTTAGGTTAGGTTAGGTTAGGTTAGGCCAGGTTAGGTAGTTAGGTTAGGTTAGGTTAGGTTAGGTTAGGTTAGGTTAGGTTAGGTTAGGTTAGGTTAGGTTAGGTTAGGTTAGGTTAGGTTAGGCCAGGTTAGCTTAGGTTAGGTTAGGTTAGCTTAGGTTAGGTTAGGTTAGGTTAGGTTAGGTTAGGTTAGGTTAGGTTAGGTTAGGTTAGGTTAGGTTAGGCCAGGTTAGCTTAGGTTAGGTTAGGTTAGGTTAGGTTAGGTCAGGTTAGGTTAGGTTAGGTTAGCTTAGGTTAGGTTAGGTTAGGTTAGGTTAGGTTAGGTCAGGTTAGGTTAGGTTAGGTTAGCTTAGGTTAGGTTAGGTTAGGTTAGGCCAGGTTAGGTTAGGTTATGATATGTTACGTTACATTAAGTTACAGAGAAATAGTTGTTGTGGTTGAAATTGTTGAATACACTGATGACTACAGATTCACAATTTCGGCTTATCAACATGTCATTATTGTCTTAGGCACGGAAGAGTGTGTCAGCGCTGTATATCAAAAGGATGAGAGAACTGCGGTATACTTTGTGATTGATAAAAGTATCTGACATTATATCAGCGTCTCTTTTTGTCGGTATTATATACCTTTTCTTTGATACAAATGTTCACAATCTAGACAGTGTCAGTAGTATATTTATAGCCTGGGCATTGTCAGTAGTGTATTTACAGCCTAGACAGTGTCAGCAGAGTATATTTACAGCCTAGACAGTGTCAGCAGTGTATTTACAGCCTAGACAGTGTCAGCAGAGTATATTTAAAGCCTAGACAGTGTCAGCAGGATATTTAAAGCCTAGACATTATCAGCAATATGTTTATAGCCTAAATATTGTCAGCAAGGTGTTTACCACCCGGGTAGTATCAGCAGTGTATCAGCTCAAAATACCAGCTAGAAATGTTCAATCACGAGTGAGACCGTCAGTGGTATTGAGTGAGGTTGCGGATGGTGGCATGATTGTTGTCGAGGCCTGATTGTTCCCCAGGCATGATTGATGCCCACGCATGATTGATGCCGGGATAGTACGAGATTCCTCTGAAAATTGCTGACTGCTTTAAACCTTTTTACGACTCCTGATTACCGAGTCTCCTGGGATGGGTTGTTTACATTGCTCTGTGGCACCCGGAGAGAAAACGGAAAGCGAAAGTTGCAGTACTTCGAATAAAAGGTGAACTTATTTTACGGGGAGGTAGTAAAGCGTAGAGAATAAAGCCACTGGGGAAGCATTATCAGTAAAGTCTCCCCAGTGGGTGATACTTATTTTGTTACATACGTAACAAATTGATAAAAAAAAGGGGGGGGGGATGTTTAGATAAGACTGGAATATTAAGATTTTGCTCAATTTTGTCCATTAGAAAGTAATTAAGAGCGCAGGTTTCACGTAAATTTTCCTAATTTACATGCATATTGTTGCTTAAATTTTTTAACGATGACGGAAAACACCTCAAACCGCTCTGGAACGTCGAAAAAGAGAGAGAAAGAGAAAGAGAGAGAGAGGGAGAGAGAGAGGGAGAGAGAGAGAGGGAGAGAGAGAGGAGAGAGAGAGAGAGAGAGAGAGAGAGAGTATAGTAAATACTTGAGTCTTCTGTCTTGACTGTCATAACTGTTCATTTCTCTTAATACATTACACTTCGTACTGATAATCTCTGTCTTTCCCGTCTCTGTCTCTTTATTCCAGTTACCTGTCCTCTTGTCTGTTTTAAACTGTTTTTTGTCTGTTTGCATCCTTTTTTATTCTATTTTTTTCTAATTTTATCTCCCTTTATTATTATTATCATTATTATTATTGTTATTATATTAATATTATTACTATATTATTATCATAATTATTATTATTGTCGTTCTCTTTATTTTTCCGTACTCCTGTCTGTCTGTGTCTGTCTGCCTGTGTGCCTTTCTCTCTCTCTCTCTCTCTCTCTCTCTCTCTCTCTCTCTCTCTCTCTCTCTCTCTCAGCCTGTCGTGTAGGGACTCGGTCATTAATGATACAAGTGGACAGGGAGCCGAGCAGTGGGTAAGTTGAATATACCAAGACGTACCGTGACGCACCTGTCCGAGATGATTCGTCTCATGTTGTACCAGTGGTTGTACCAGACGTGGAGTTGTACCAGTGGGTGCACTGTGCATGGAATTGTACCAGGGCCGAAACGTTTTCTAATAAATGTGTCCTAAGGTTTGTTCACATGTCTTGTTTAAATCAACACAGGTGTTGCCACTATCACATCCAGGACCATCAGAATCTTGACCAGGGAAAGAGACCACTACTAGGACCATAACAACGCAAGTATATACGTGGCTGTGACCAGAAGTACGTGGGAGGACCTCTCCCACAGGGTGAAACAACATAAGTGATAAATCAGACACATGTACAACACCAGTGTACCTGCAGGACTCACAACATGAACAACACTAGTGTTACAGACAAGTACCAGACTATCCACCAGATGCTTTGGAATGACGCCCAGATGCTCATGAAAGAACCTGACGAGATACGAAGCAGTTACCTGGAAGCTGCGCTAATCCAAACACAAAACACAATCTAGCAGAATCAAGGAGCAGTCAGTTTGGCCAACCTGTAGACCAACTCAACTAACATAAGCAGGCAAAAGGTCACACTTGCAATAATGCGACGTTTTTATTACGGCAACGTTTCGCTCTTCAGGAGCTTAGTTGCACGTGTGTCTTTTTACCTAACATATTGTCAGTAATTCTACCAACATTATTACAATAATATAAACAGTCATGAGGAGGATCAGTAGTCCTCCTGCAGTGCTCTCACCTCGTAGTTCACTCCACACAATGATCCCGCTGAGCTGACCTCTCACCTGACTAGGTTGTATAAATTTAACGACGGTACGGGTGGGGATTGAACTCGCGGCAAGTGAGTCGTAAAACTGCAGGCCACCGCGTAAGCCAGTTGGTCCAGTGGCTTACTTGCTGGCCTGGAGTTTCACGACTCACTTGCCGCGAGTTCAATCCCCACCCGTACCGTGGTTTGTCTGCAATCGTGTCATTACAATTTCGTGAGTTTTGTATGAATTTGCTTGTGGTATAATGACATCTCTCCTTGTAAAAGGAGAGATCTTGATCCTATTCTTACCTAACAGCTGACCCAAACCCCTACAGCTATCCATAGACTTGACGTACCACCATCCTAACCTAGTCTGGTGACCAGGCAGCAAGACGACCGTCTTCCACAACACTTGACAATATTCTTCTCCCTCGAAACCTGACACAAAACAACTCGCCCACTTTGACGCTTTATTGGTTCTCACCTTTCCGGATTTTCTCCTAATAATTTCTCCACCGTTTATACTTTCCAGAAATTTGATAATATAAATATGATTGTATTTCAGAGTGATATTAAATGAGGAACACCTAAGGCAAATTAAGGTCAAAAGAAGAACATGTAAGGTCAGATACTATTACGAACACAGGTACAAGTGAAAGGTGTGCTGTACCCGGTTAGTAAGACAAATCACCAGTAAAGGAACGACCAAGTAAAAATAAAAACAAAGGCGAACAACAAAGGTAGTTTTCTGAGTACTGCTGTACAGTATTCCCACTACGAGTATTTGCAAAATTTGCAGAGTAACAGAACACCAGTGTAGGCAGATTATTATGCTAGTAAGTACTGTAATGAGATGGGGAACTTAGGGGAGTTCGTTTACTGCTAAACACTCATAAACTTATACAAGAGAGAGACCAGCATACACAATCAGCTAGAGCTAGTGAGAGTCTGTCCTCCAGACCAGACGGTAAGTATAATGCCAGGTCGTCCGGAAGTCAACCTTTAGTCCTGACTGATTGACTGGCATTTATAACTGGCAGCAATGCACGGTACAGTTGTGGCACCCAGACAACTACTCAGCTATAATTGGCCTATTATAGGAGAAATACAAGAAGAGGTTAAGTGACGTAAATCGTCTAACTATAACGTCCTGGATGCACACCACAAATACTGAACAAATAATATGCAAATGGAAAATAGATCAGGCCACCTGAATAAAAGATTATCTTATAATGGAGACCAGAGGAAGATCAGATATAAGCCAGATTAAGTGCTTTTAATTAAATAGTTTACTGATGATGCAAGATATT